TTAGAAGTGAAAAATTTATAAGTATATTTTGGGAAATTGTAACATGCTAAGTACTTTGTGGAACACTTAAAATTAGTGACCAGAAAGATCTTTAGATTTTGTATGTACATGTACATGATTTTTTTCTTAATCTTTTTTATCAATATGCAGCAAGATTAACATTTTTTTTAATTTCAGTTTCAAAAGCTTCAAATGCAATTACCTCTATAAATATTGAATCAGGGCCTTTTATAGCTGACCATGCGGTATGTGTTTTGCTCATTGTTGAAGGCAGTACGGTGACCTATAGTTGTTAACTTCTATATAATGGTGGAGAGTTGTCTCATTGCCAATTACCACATCTTCATTGTTGTTTAGAAATAACTTGATCAGTATCCTCATCAGTATTATTTTATTATTGATTTTCTTGACTTTTTAATAAGGAGAGTGAATTTTCTATTGTTCTTGTTCACTAGATTTCCAACTGCATGTATCTTCTTCAGAGGAACTACTCAAAAAAGTGATTTTTAAATCAATGTATATTAGTAAAATTTAACCAAAATTAACCAAAAACAGGATTACAAAAACTGTATAACCAGCTGTATGACTTATTCCTTCATGATGTGATTATCATCCATTTTTATGATTATTTTTCTTCCCAACAAAATGTTGCTGGGACAGAGATGCAATGAGATTTTTTTTTAGATTAATGGCATCTTTTTTCAATGGAATTTATTTGGATCAATATTAATCTTTATAACTACTTTAGTAGTTTACCTATAGCAGCACATAGCAGAGCTATGCAAACTGAAATTTGCAACAGTAAAACCAGGTTTTACATAGACAAAGCTGAAAGTACTATACAGTTATCTCCATAAACGGATAAAATTCAAAACATTGTCCTTGTATTTGTTACCTTATTAGTATGACAACATCAATATGATTCCAGTATCAAAAGTACTGGTAACTACCCGGACATTTGTCGGTTTTATGTATTCGTCCGAATAAAAGAAAATTTGACAAAAAAGAAAATTTTAGGTGAAAGTCTTAAGATCTGTTAATTTTCTTTATTATTTAAGATTTAATCACAATAAACCAATAAATTTCAAAATTCAAAATGCTGCTTCCCTTAGTAACAAACTGGTAAACCATGGAATTTATTCCATCAAAATAGTTTTATTTTGAGGTTGTGCAATCAAAATCATGATTACAAACTTTATATATTGCATTAGAATAATATATAAATGAATCTGAATAGATAGTTTTCTTTGGATATATATCTGAAACATATCCATTGATTTAGTGGAAAATATTGGATTTTTATGCAATGTGCATTCAGACAAATCTTTTAAATGGCAATGCTGATTGATATCAAACAGTTTGCATAATAAAAATGTTAATAAATATGTTCAATTTATTATGATATGTCACCATAAAAATAAATTGTAATTATAAAAGCAGAAATAGAACTTGTGAATCTTTAGTGACACACTGTAAAAAGTACTATTTTAAAATGGCAATCAATTCTCTTAATTGCCTTCTTTCTGTAATTTTCTAATTATAAAAGAAAAAGCTGCAATGAATAATTTATGGACATTGTTGATTATCTTTTGATAATTTGTTACTAAAGAAGGTTAAAACCAAGATAAAATAGAATATTTGTAAATAAACTGTAATGAAACATTAATTTCTAAGGAAATACCTTTTGTAGATAGTAAATAAATTATGTGTATGAATACAGAAACCCTTCGATATAAAAACCTGAAAGACTTCTAGAGGTCAATATACCTTCTTCAAGCTGAAGTTTTTAAACATTATGTCAGACTCTTTTTAATCAAGAGTCGCATAGTCTTGAATAACATTGTGAATAAATTTCATTGAGACTGTGAAATTATTGCAATTGAGCGATTGAAAAATTGATAAATATATGTGATTTACTTCGTTATTTCAATAATAGACAAATCAAAATCACTTCCACATTTAAGTGGTTAACTTATTGGAAAAAAGATAAATTAATGTTCGATACAGTGAAATTAAGAATCAGTGTAATGTTGACATAGTCTTACATAGTAAAACACTTGGGAGAATCAGGAATCTGACGTCAGGAAATTGATTGGTTGCTGAAACAATATACTGAATAATGTATTACGTAAGGGAATAAAAAGAAAAACAGGTTGTCTTTGTTATTTGATTTTTTTTTTTCAATATTTTGCTCTTTTCCAGCTATGAATTCTAGGAAAATGACAAGATATTGTAATAAGGTATTATTTTTTGTGAAACTTTGATGGAAATTTGTTTAAATTCCATATACATATGGTATTAAAAAATGATAGAAACTGCATGTTCAAAACCAATTACCAATGTAAGGGAATGGTAAAAACTAATGGAATCCTTAAGGAATCTTGTCATAAAAGACGAAGTTATGTCAGAAAGAGGCAGTACATATAAGGAATATGGTATGTTACGTAATGATTTATTTGTAATCCCATTTATTTTATTGGTGTGGAATTCTCAGATAACATATCTTTCAAAATGACATGGATCTACAGCAAGTAAATTTGAAGTTTGAGGAGTGTATTTTGTATTAAACTTTGTGAATTATTGTTTATAATAACCATTATAAACATATTGTAATTTTATGTGGAGTGAAGTTTTTAATTTCTATTGGAATTACAGCTGTAAATGACTTGCAATTCAAATATTCTTTAGAGGATTGTAATGTTATCACACAAATTGATGTATTAAATATTTAAATATGTCAGTTGTGTATTTATATTGTATTCAGTGTAAAGTGTTAAAAACAGAATGCATATTCAAGGCATAAGGATATAATATCTTATTAATTAAACAAGTGTCAAATAAAAATTTGTTAAAAATCCCAAAACTTGTCATAAATATGGAAGAAAATATGATAACTGGATGTTTAACAGTTTACTGTAGAAAATGGAAATCTTATCATGCCAAAAAGAAAAGGTAAAAATTATTGCATTTATTCTAACTTAAGTTCGACTTTTTTGTCCCTTAAGTTGTCTTGTTTCTTTTTGTGAAAAAAAGTTTTTTTACCAATAATTTTGCTTAATAAACTGAAGAAGCAAGAAAATAATTAGCAGTTCCAATTAAGTGGGATAGCAAAAAAAATGAGGGAAATTGAATTTAAACACTGACATAATTTATGATCAATGAGACAGATACCTATCTATATATATATATACATGATATATACACAAAACAACCACTTTTTTGTTTGGAGTTGAGCCTTGGTGTTGTATATTGTACTGTCCAATATGTTTTGTAATTCATGTTATCTTTTTAATGCATTATGTGAGCTGCGTCAGATAGAAATCGACCTTATGCAAGTGCACGTATACATGTACATGTATAAGACTTTGATTGATTTGGTACATTCAAATACGAAATAAAAGATGAACTTTGGTCTGTTTTGTAAGGTTCTTATAACAACTTATTTTCAAAAAGTTACGGACTTCCCGTAGAGATTATTTCAACCCAAAATAAGTTAACAGATATATTTATATTTATTTGCATAAAGTCAATTTCTATCCGACATAGTTTATGTATAGATAGTTTTGTTTTTATACGGTTATTACCCCATGCAAAAGAGTTGTATAGGATATACTGTTTTTGTCCCCTCCGTCTGTCTGTCTGTCAAAACTTTGTTGTCACATGATAGCGTATAGGATATACTGTTTATGTCCCCTCCATCAGTCTGTCTGTCAAAACTTTGTTGTCACATGATAGCGATGTCATTTTTTACAGATCATCATCAAACTTGAATCAAGATTCCCAATCATCAAAATCACAGATGAGGTCGATAACCAGAAAAATCTGAAACGGATGGCCCTTTATTTAGGGAGCGGGGCATGTAAATATACATGTATCCAATATTAATTCATTTGGCTGGGACTATGCCTTAATCTTTTGTCAGATCCTCTTCAAATTTGTATGAAGGATTTCTCTCATCAAAACAATCGAATGAGTTAGATAATCAAGAAAATCTGAAATGGGGGACCATTTTGTAGGGAGAGGACATGTAAATATACCCCATATTAATCATTTGTTGTGTGGGATATGTGAGTTTGCTCACTATAGATTTGTTCCTAAGTTGTAATTGAGCATATGTTGTTAAAGCTAATATATCTGACATTATTTGCTTTTCATGCCTACACATCTATTTGGATTTTACTTTGTCAAAAGTACAATCAGGATTGTCTCTGACGAGTTAGGACTGATAGGTTATTTTTTTTGGGGAGGTGTGCTCATATAAATGGATATAATATGAAAGTTGAAAGCAGTTTCCCCTCAACATTCCTGATAGAAATTTTTATAAAATTTATGTCAAAGGTTCACATAAGCAATATCTCTATAAATATATCTTATTTCTAAAGAGGGTTTGTGCAGCTTGCCCCACTTGTTTGAAAATCAGTTTGATTCATTTATTTTTGGGGGAGTTATATCCCTTGGAAAAGTTAATAATATGGAAAATCGATATATTTTTTATCAACACAGAGCATTTAAATTGAAGTTTTCAATTTATTGTGATCATATTTACTAAAGATATTTAACAAAATTGACAGAATTCCAAAATGCAATCCATTTAGAGAAGAATTTTTGAGTTTTTTTTTACAAAATTATTGCACATTTATTAGTTTTATTTTGTCAATCTGCAATTTTAATTAAGAATTTTGTATTCAGGTTTCTGCACATAATGTAAACAAATTGCAATAACAGAAAAAAAGTGGGTTAGTTTGTACTTTGATTTTGCTGTTTACAGAGCTTTTTACAACTCTTCAGTTTGTAAATGAATGTTATTTTTAAAAATATTGCAATGTTTCTTTTTTCATCCATAGACAAGAATGAAAAAAATTGTTTAGTCTTGACTGATTCTGAGAAAATGCATAATTTGAATTTTATAATAGAAAAAGCTATGAATACATTTTCTTTTTGGACATAAGTATATCATATAATTTAAACAACAAACTGAATTCTTTTCTTTGCACTTTCAGGGATAAGAGAAGGGAAGGATTGAGGAAAGAAGATTATATCATAAAAGATCAGAAAGACGCTACATTAGGCAGAGTTCCTGGTACAGTGAATGGTCAACAGTTTCTTGTTCAAAACTGTGAGGTAAAAATGGCATATCTTAAGTTAAATAGCCAGTACAGAAAAAAATAAATGATCTAACAAAGCAGTGACAGTAGCCGTTGATATTTTTGTATGCATAATGTGACAGTGTTTTTTTGTCGAGCCTTCGACTTTAGTCGAAAAAGCGAGACATAGCGATCCTGCATTCCGTCGTCGTCGTCGGCGGCGTCCACAAATATTCACTCTGGTTAAAGTTTTTGAAATTTTAATAACTTTCTTAAACTATCCTGGATTTCTACCAAACTTGGACAGAAGCTTGTTTATGATCATAAGATAGTATCCAGAAGTAAATTTTGTAAAAATAAAATTCCTGTTTTTCCGCATTTTACTTATAAATGGACTTAGTTTTATTGCCAGGAAACAATACATTCACTCTGTGGTTAAAGTTTTTAAAATTTTAATAACTTTCTTAAACTATCCTGGATTTGTACCAAACTTGAACAGAAGCTTGTTTATGATCAAAAGCTAGTATATAGAAGGAAATTTTGTTAAAATTTTGTACCTGTTTATCCGTATTTCACTTATAAATGGACTTAGTTTTTCTTCCAGTTAACATTAAATACAGTCTGCAGTTAAAGTTTTTAAAACATTTATTAGATTCATAAACTATCCTGGATTTATACCAAACTTTGACAGAAGCTTCTTACAATCAAAAGATAGTATCTAAAGGAATATTTTTATTGATTTCTTTTCCTCATTTTTGTTCAGCCTGCGTTTAACAGCAAAAGTAGGCGAGACACTGGGTTCCGCGGAACCCTTACGAATTTTTTATTTTGTTGTATCATAAGTGTCCTGAAGCTGTTTAATCAAATCACCAATGTAGGAGAAGGAAACAGGTTCTATGTTCTTCTTCTTTATAATTCAGCACTCCATCAACATACTGATGATAACGTGCCGGGCACTGATTTTACTATGCCGCACGTGCGTGGGATCTAATTTTTATTTACAGTGAATAATATACAAAAATAAAAATTAAATTTCTTTTTCTTCTGTTTTTGTACTATACATTTTGGTTAAAACTATTTACATTGTAGAATTTATTTAAATGTTTAGATGTTTATTGAGAACAGATATTGGAATCTGTTCTCAGAAACTTTCAAGAGTAGTACATTGAACTGCAGTTACTGGGAGAAGGTTCCATTGTAAGATTGTTCTTGGGTAGAATGAGTACTTGTATGAGTCTTTAGTGGTTTGTATGGGTCTGAAAGAATAAATATGTGAATGTTGTCGTGTTCTTGTATCGGATTGTGTGAGTAGATCTGTCGAGTATATGGCTACAAGATGATGTATGATTTTGTAGAAGAAGATGATGCGTGTTCTTATTCGCCTTTTCTCAAGAGTTGCCCAATTTAGTGTTTGCAGCATTTCAGTGACTGAGCTGGTGTTATGGTATCTGTTGCATGTGTACCTCGCTGCTCTGTGCTGGACCATCCCAAGTTGGTGTGTTTGTGATTTGGTATGTTGGTCCCAGGCACAGCTGCTGTATTCTAGCTTTGGTCTTACTAGTGCTATGTATGCTTTTTCTTTAACTGTTTTTGAATTTACCTTTAAATTTCTTTTAATGAAGTTCAGCTTTTGTGTGGCTGCAGCTGTGATGTTGTTTACATGCTTGTTCCATTTTAGGTCAGTTTGTATAGTAATGCCCAGATATTTTGTGGATGTTTCTTTTTGCAGTACATGTTGGTGGAGAGTATAGTCAAATTTTAATGGGTTTTTCTTGGTTGTTATCTGGAGGACTGAGCATTTGTCTGGATGGAATGACATGAGCCAGTTGTTAAGTTGAAATATTCATGATTGTGAACAACTTAACTGTATTGTAGTCCTAAATTTCTTAGAAAAAAAATTTAAATTGTAAAATATGCTGGTGTTTAATCCAACAGGAAGTCAATACAGTCTGGTATGGTACAATGTATATATCATCACCTTTCCTATTGTCTATCTAATTAACTACTTACTTTCTGCTTTATAATTGATAGAAATTTACCTGTTGAGATCAATGACTCTTACTTTAATTAGAGAGATTGTGAAATGTTTGTTGATCATGTCAAACTTTATTGATTCTTTGTTTGTTTCACTATGTCAAAATTAATTCTAAGTGCTTGAATAGAATTTGACTGAAGATAAGAAATCAATGATTGCTCTCTTGTGTTAAAGATGAATAATGCACCTTGATTATCATTGTTAGATCAACTTACTCAAAAGACTATTTCATGAATGATGTTTATATATTGGTCCCAGCTCAAAGCAATGTTATAAATACAATGTATAATATAATCAATGGGTATTATTGTATATTGCTTGTGGTTAACTTAAGATAGAGATAATATCATCATAAAAATAACATTATTTTGAAACCAATTTGATATCATATAAAGAACAAATAGAATTGCTGTTTTATGCACTGGTAATTCAATGCAAGACTGTGATATGCACTGATAAATCGATGCAATGACAGACAGGATTGAGGAGAAGACATTTAATATGTTTTTTTTGGACCTGTGTCTAGAGGCAGACAATAAATGTATACATGTATAAGATGTAAAAAAGGCAGAAAAAAACTAGCACCATTTTTGTCAAGCCTGCGACTTTTGTCGCAGAAAGCTAAACATAGGGATAGTGATCCGGCGGCGGCGGCGTTAGCTAACTTCTAAAAAGCTTTATATTTTAGAAGCTAGAAGACCTAGATGCTTCATACTTTGTATATAGATGCTTTATGTTACGAAGTTTCCGTCTGTCATATGTCCATTGTCCTTGACCTCATTTTCATGGTTCAGTGACTACTTGAAAAAAAAAGTCAACATTTTTTGTAATGTTAATTTCTTTCTTATTAAGAGTAATAGGATAACTATATTTAGTATGTGCGTACCTTGCAAGGTCCTCATGCCCGTCAGACAATTTTCATTTGACCTCGACCTCATTTCATGGATCAGTGAAAAAGGTTAAGTTTTCGTGGTCAAGTCCATATATCAGATACTATAAGCAGTAGGTCTACTATATTTGGTATATGGAATGATTGTAAGGTGTACATGTCCAACTGGTAGGTGTCATCTGACCTTGACCTCATTTTCATGGTTCAGTGGTCAAAGTTAAGTTTTTGAGTTTTGGTCTTTTTTTCTAATACTATATGCAATAGGTCAACTATAAATGGTGTATGGAAATATTTTATGATGTACATGTCAGTCTCACAGGTTTTATTTGACCTTGACCTCATTTTCACGGTTCATTTCTCAGTGTTAAGTTTTTGTGTTTTGGTCTGTTTTTCTTCAATTATAAGCAATAGATCAACTATATTTGATGTATGGAAGGATTGTAAGGTGTATATGTCTGTTTGGCAGGTATCATCTGACCTTGGCCTCATTTTCATGGTTCATTGGTCAATGTTAAGTTTTCATGGTTTAGTTTGTTTCTTACAAAAATGTAGATACTATAAGCAATAGGTCAACTATATTTAATGCCTAAATTTATTGTAAGGTGTACATGTCTGTCTGGCATGGTTCATCTGACCTTGACCTCATTTTCGTGGTTCATTGGTCAATGTTTAGTTTTCTTGTTTAAGACTGTTTCTTACAAACAATAAGCAATAGGTCAACTATGTATGGTTTATTGAATGATTGTAAGGTGTGCATGTATTTCTCGTTTGGTTTATCTGACCTTGACCTCATTTTCTTGGATCATGTTAGGTTTATGTGTTTCTTGTAGTAAAGCTTTGTATTTAGGACTATCAACATAAAATCAATGGTTAGTAAAGAAGGCGAGACATTTCAGCGTGTGCACTCTTGTGTTGATACTGCTACTATGGTAATAAATCAAACATAAGGGTATATCATTTATATAATATCTTTGTATTAACATCAAATTTCCAAGATACATTCATACATGTTCCTCAATACTAGTATGAAATACATTTACATAGTTTGTAAAAAGGGATATGGGGTATACCCTTATGAGACAACAACATAACAATACAAAAAAACGCAATTTTAGGACATTTAAAAGTCAACATGCAGACTTCAAAAATAGAAAAGAGTTTGCACTATGCATCAGGCTCATAACCTTAAAGATGTGAAAACTTTTAACAGACGCTACCAAAGGCCTTCCATGAAGACTAAATTCTTTGAAGGACAAAAATACTAAATTATAACTAAAGCAAGCACAGATATCGTCAAAATTATCATCATTAGGTTAGAATGGACTAGATATATATAGTAAAGTCTATTAATGGGGAAAATATGTAGTTACCAATTCATATAACCATATTATATGTAGGGGGGTAAGGGGATGAACATGTTTTACTTTGAGCTGTATTCCTCTTGTTATATCATGATATATTTTAGTACAAAAATTTTAAATTGCTATTATTTTGATTTCAGAATTGTAATATTTATGTGTTTGATCACTCGGCAGCCATAAATGTAGATGATTGCGTTAACTGTAATTTCTTCTTGGGACCAATTAAATCAAGGTTAGTTAGTACTTAAGGTGGTACCCAACACCTTGACTAATATTAATTTGGCTCGTTTAATTTTCATAAAATTTTGACAAAATGTTTACTTTGACCCTTTGACAAAAATATAAAAATTTCAAAAAATTTGAACCAACCACTTTATCAGAAAAATTTTGTTGGTTATATAGCAGTTTGACAAACACTAATTTTGATCATTGAGAAGCTTAATATTTCCTTAACAATTCAACGTAATTAAAACGTTTAGCTGATTTTTACATAGTTATCTCCCTGTAGTGTTAGGTACCACCTTAAGTTTTCTTTTATAGAAGTCTCTCAGTTGTTGCAAGATATTTTAGAGGGACTTGTTTAATTTGTCCATGGCGGAAGTGGTAGAAAAGAGACTTAATGATCCTTCATTCCATCGTTTTCTGGGTTGCCAACATTTAGATTTAAGTCTGTGGATAATTTTTTTCATGTATCAATGGGCGCATTACATTTGCGCGTATTTGGGGATTAAAAAGTTTTACGTTTGTGCGCAGCTTTTGATTACATTTGTGCGCATTCATTTTACAAGTAGCACAGGTAAAAACAAAGATAATTCATAATAGATATGACTATAGTTTATTATTAATTTTGAACATATTTGGAAATTTGAATTATAAATTTTTCATACTGAATTCTGGAAAAAAATTTAAGTGATTATGAGAAATCATGTAATAGATTAAGACATACCGTATTTATTCTAATAAACGCCCCGGGGGCGAAGACAATTTCCAAAAGGGGGGCGTCAATTAGAGAAACGAATTTCGTACCTTACTTCATTGACATTTAACTGAATTTTGTTGAAACAGACTATAGTTACCTACATGTGTTTCTAATTGTCTCCATAATCTTTAAATAGCGTTTATCGGTAATTTGACTTCATCAAATATTTTGTTAAAATTTTCGAATGAACAAGCGTGCACATCAATGGAACATAATTTCAACAGCTCAATAAGGGGATATCATGTATACAAAAGTATCTGGAGTTATGCAATCGGTGACAAACTAAGATGTGAACAAGAGGAAGATAATCCAAACGATAAATTTGCCGTCAAACTTGTCTTTGTCATTGGAAATGAAGAAAAATGTGTAGGCCACGTGCCGATCGAACATAGTAAAATCTTCAACTTTTTCTTAAAAAGAGGAGGCAAAATCAACGCGACTGTGACTGGAAGCAAGTTTTTTAATATCGGACTTGAAATACCTTGCCTATACACATTTTCCGGGAACAATACTGATATTGAAAAACTTAAAAAATTACTGAAATAGAACAAGGATTTTAATAGTAAGACCAAAATAATGGAATCGAAATCGTCAACACATAAAAATAAATATACGTTTAGTTTTAAACTTAAAGTTATAAAATTTGCCGAAGAAAAAGGGAAACATGCTGCAGCAAAATTTTACAATGTTGACAGAAAACGTGTGCGCGAATGGTCCCAAAATAAATGTAAAATTGAAAGTGGATCACAAAATCAGAAAAGACTACCAGGTGCTGGACGGCCTGTTAAGTACAAGGAAATTGATCAAAAATTGATGATATGGTTTAAGGAGAAACGAAGTGCGGGAATTCGCGTGACAGGAAAAGCAATGCGAATTGAAGCATTGAGACTTCACAAGGAGAATGGAAGCCAATCGTTTAAGGCATCTCTTGGGTGGTTTAATAAATTTAAAAAGCGTCATAGAATTACGTTCCGACGAGCAACGCATGTAGCCCAACACTCAAAATCAATTGTTGATGACCGCATTGACAAATTTCTAAACTTTGTAATCCGTATGAGACGGTTTCGAGGGTATGCTACAAGTGAAATCGGGAATATGGACGAAACTCCTGTATGGTTTGAAATGCCAGGGAAATCCACATTAGCAGAATGTGGAGAGAGAGAGATACGTATGGCATCAACCGGACACGAAAAAGAAAAATTGACAGTCACGCTAGCTGCATATGCTGATGGCACAAAGCTGCCTCCTTTAGTTCATTTACCCGGTGTTCGTCCACTTCCAAAAAATGAAATACCAAACGGTGTTGTTGTATACATGTGTGGTTCAGGAAAGAAATCTTGGGCCAATGAGGATAGTATCAACTTTTGGTTGAAAAGAGTGTGGGGATTAAACAATCAGAAACGGCGATTACTTGTATGGGATGCATTTAGAGCACATATCACTCCGAGAGTAAAGGAATCAGTACGAATGAAGTACAATTCGGACATGGCTGTAATTCCCGGAGGCTGCACTTCAAAATTACAACCAGCTGATGTTTCGTGGAATAGGCCATTTAAATCATACATATCGGAAATGTATGACGAATGGTTATTTAATGGACCTGTTGAGAGAACCAAAGGTGGCAACAGACGGGCCCCTTCAAAGTCCGTAATTCTTAGTTGGATTAAAAAAGCATGGGATTCTATCACTCCAGTAATTATATGAAAATCGTTTAAAAAGTGTGGGATCTCGAATGAGTTGGACGGAAGTGAAGATCATTTATTTCAAAATGACCACGATGATGATAATGATCCTTTCGAAGGGTTCGACGTGGAAGATGTCGAAATGGATGAGGAAATGTTGGCTAACGTTTCAGCGTACGACGAAGAAGCCATGGAAGTTAGCGAGAGTGAGGGTGAAATAGATTCTGACCTCAATGAGGCTACAGAATCAGACTATGATAGTCCTGGTCACTGAAAACAATAACATTTGATGTATAAATTTATTCAATATTAGTTTAGAAATGCATGCCTGTTTATAACGTTGAACTTTACTGATAGCGTACTGCGTAACTGACAGATCTATTTTTGGAACTTGTACACACTGTGTTATATTATCGGAGTGGATTAAAACATGGGCATTATTGATTTTTCGTTTCATGTTTCTGAGTGACCAGATGTCCTTTGCAATATTGTAATGAGTTAGTTTCAATTTTATTTTGTAACTACAAAATGGGGGCGTTTATTAGAAGTCAAAAGTTCTGAACACACGTTTTTCGGTAGGGGGGCGTTAATTAGAAGGGGGGCTTTAATTAGAATAAATACGGTACATGTAACTTTATTGCGAATATTTCAGATTAAATAGTAATTTGCTTCCGCATTTTACAGAATAGAAATCGTTTTTAGTAAATAATTTTAGTCAGTTCGTAAGTTGCATCAAGGCCCTAACATTAAGTTTGTTTGTCAGAAACAAATCGGGGGAGGGGGGGAATCATGAGTGTACGATGGATTTACTTTCAGTATCAACAGAACACTAAAGATAGGGGATATTTCAAGGCGATACACGGTGCATAATTGCTAAGGTATTTCACCATATTCTCCAAGTCTCTGGGCATCACTACCATCCATGTATTTCATGAAAGCAATGGGCTGTCAAATATTCAGCAGGTTACGACATGTAAAATCAGTAATTTAATCTTTAGATTTGCTATTTATTTACATTTTCATCAGTATATATTTCCAGGACTAAGGGCTTGTCCATAATAAAATTGTCTCATCCTGCTCGAAAATAATTGTTAGATAAATAAATAAATATAATCTACCTGTATTTTACTGAGTTTACCTGTAAAATAAATGCGCGCAAATGTAATGATTTTTGCACACAAATGTAATTGTAAAGCACGCAAATGTAATGGACTGGTATCAATAACTTTGTCAAACCTTCATTGAAAACTTCATGATTATAGTATTAAGAGCAAACATTTTAAAGTATTTAGAAAATTTTGCTGTCGATACTATCTTTTAATCATGAAGAAGCTTGATTTCAAAATAAATGTGTTGATTTATACATATACCATTATGTGTTGATTTTGACATATACCATTATGATCTTTCATAAAATAATTACAACAAAATTTGTTCAGGAAGGGAGAATTTTGCTGATCCTGTCTGTGATATCTAGATTACCTCATAAAACATATGTACAGAGACAATTTCATGAAAAATGTTCTTTTGGGCAGTGAATGACATGCTAGAGTAGGAAATACAGAGGAAAAGAAGGGATGTTATGTTTTTATGTACATTACACATACCCTACATGCACTTAACAAATTCCAAAGCAAATCATAATAACCATTTATCACAAAGTCACATTTAATGTGTGTGTACAAAAAAAGAGATTTAAAAAAATGAGTATGTCACATAAACATGATAAAAAAATGATTTTCAGACCTGTTTTTTTTTTTGTCTGAATATTTTGTGTAAAATAAATTGTACAGATTGAAACAGAGAATTAATATTTAATCACATTAAGATGACCATCATTTCACAGACGTTCTAAAGCTTTACAAACCTTTTCTATATATTTCAGTGTATTCATAAGAGACTGTAAAAATTGCAAGTTTATTCTGTCCTGTCAACAATTTAGAACTAGAGATTGTAACAAGATAGACATATTTCTGTGTTGTAATACACAGCCTATTATAGAAGCCTCTTCAGGAATGAGGTTTGGATGCTACCAATATTACTACCCAGAATTAGCAGGTATATCCTCTTATTATATGTAACAATTTTTATTCTCACTGATTTTTCATAATTACATGAATTAAACAGATAATTTCATTTAAGCAGTATGTATCAAATATCAGAATAGAAATGAACAAAATTTTGAATTTGAAAACTAAATTTCAAATACTGACGATAGGTATAAACAATCACTGACATAAGACTATTGTACATGAATGTTTTAGTGTAAGGTTATATTTATGAGAAAAATAAAAGTGTGTATGTAAAGGATTAATATTGTTATCTATTTTCATCTTAAACATTTCAGATCAATTTAAGTCTGCTGGTGTGACAGTTTTTAATAATAACTGGGGAAACATTCATGATTTTACACAAGATCCTGATGAACAACATTTTTCTAATTTACCAGAGGTAGGCTACCAATGTTATCATGGCAAACTCTCATAGAAAAGAAAGGATATTGGGTATCCATCTTTGACACAAAATCAGTATATGCACAGCAAAAAACACAAAAAGCAAAGGAACAACACTTTTATTGCTGTTCTGCTCAAAGTCACAGTGAGGCCTTATACGCGGAGCAAAAAAGCTCACCTCACTGCATGTTTATTTATTTATTATTATTTTGTATTATTATTAAATAGCTGCTATACTACCAGTTTGCTTTTGAACATATGTAAAGAATAACACAAAGATTTAATAATTATATAAACAGATCATACCTGAATGTTCTTTAGGAAAAAAATACTTTTGACCTTGAAATAAAGGTTATGTTCAATTTAAGGATGTGTACCTCTGAGGAGCCAAAAATTTCTAGAATTAAACTTTTTTTCTTAACCTGATTTTTGGGTTTATATGACTGTAAAAAAATAAATGGTGAAAAAAAATCATATGGTGGTGCACTTCTTTTTTTGCTACAGCCATTTGAAAGTACCCAATTTTGATGATTTTCCCATTTTTCATCAATTTTTACCCATTTTTGGGCTATTATCATGAAAAAATCACAGTTTCACAATTAAACTTTTTTTCATACTTTCACTTTTAAAGATGAAGTGGACCAATCTGAATAAATTTAACTTAAAAAACTATGGGTAGGTGTTAATATAAGAAAGTTTAATAAAATTTTGTTGCTTTTTCGTATCAAATTTACCATGTTTTCAATTTTGTAAATTTGGGATTTTCTCTATTTTTTTAGAACATAAAGCGTATTATTTCAACTTCTTTGTTATAAATGATTGAAAAAATACATATCTAAGAAATTTGAAAAGAAAAAATTGATATGGGATGTACATGTATCTGGTAAAATCATTTCTTGTACCCCTCACCCATTTTCTCAACATTTTGGCTAATGAGACTTGACTTGATTGGTTATAAAATTTTCAAATTTTATTACGCAAAAGCTACTTATTGTAAATACACAATTTTTTCACAGAGTTAAGTTTGATTATAATATTTTTTAAATTCATTGATATTTTCCACTTGTATCACATATTTTGGAAATAATTTCAGAACGAGATTTCAACGAGACTGAACGTCAGAAGATTACATCCTTAATGTATCAACAACCTATTTCTAACAATTAGTTGATAAATCTTAACAAATTGAATTTATTTTAAATTTGTTTTTCAAGTTTATACCCTCAGTTTGGTGTAAGCAAGAGCTTTTTTCTACGACATCATTTCTTACAATTCATAAAAATTTCATTTCAAGAACTTTTTCCCAATTATCTGAGATCATTTGTTGACTTTGCCAATTATGTAACATTATTGTTGTTTGAAAAACCTTAGATTAGGCATAGATTATCCCCTGACCTCAAATTAAATGTCATCAAGAACTCTTATTATTTGTCCTGTTACCTTGATATAATATTTTAAGTGATTTTCTTTTTTAGGATGCTAAAATAGATGATTTTTTGTCAATTCCATTAGCAGAAGAATTTTCCAAAATGAACATATTGTTGGATGTTGACAAAAGTGTAGTTCCCAAAACACATGGTAATCGACGGAAACCTTCTGACGAGGTAAGATAGGGATTAGTCTTATATCTCTTACTTCTGTATTTACCTGTAGGGTTCATGTGGAATTACATTTAGAAACCCAGCCTAGCATTCTTTCTAAATTCAGGCATAAGGATACATATGTTAGGAAAGATTTACACATTTATATTTATACTTAAATAGAATATATACTACAATTACTTTTTAAGTTTTGGGTATAGTTCTATAATGTAATGAATACACCATAAATGTCCACGGTACTAAGTAAAGTTAAATGATGCTCACTCTGTTAACAAGATGGTTGAAAGTAATAGCAGTGATAATTTAGAATTCAGTCGTTCATTATTGCTAATTAGTTAGATGGAATAAAAAGGAGATGTGGTATGATTGCCAATGAGACAACTATCCACCAGAGACCAAAGGATGAACGAGTGTAAAGAACTATAGGGCACGATACAGCCTTCAACAATGAGAAAAAAACCATACTGTATAGTATATACCAACACTATTTTAATGAAAGTTATCTTTTCCAGCAAGATAATGATATCCTATCCAGTTGGTTCTTACATATATAAAAGCATGCATGTAAAGGATGTATGAATTTATATATATTCATTGAGTTATTATCCTACAAGAAGTACATAAGGTGTCGTGGGCTTGAAAATACATTTTCTGTTAATGTAATCATTTTATTTACACATCATTCTTTATCATTAAATCTAATCTGAAGTTATTTTTACATTGACTTGTTTTTCATTATGACTTATTTGAAGTTATTTTCCTATTGACATGTTTTCATTATAACTAATCGGATGTTATTTTTCTATTGATAGTCGACACTGGTTGTGTTCTTCAATGACGGCAGTTGTTCAGACAGAGCTTTTTCTTTTATCAATGCAATGAGGAGTAATCATGTATGTATTAGACACTTACCTAACACTTGTACACCTAAGTACCGTTAGTGCTAACTTGTCAGTAATCGTGTACGTATTAGACACTTACCTTAGTACCGTTAGTACTAACTTGTCAGTAATCATGTACGTATCAGACACTTACCTTAGTACCGTTAGTACTAACTTGTCAGTAATCATGTATGTATCAGACACTTACCTTAGTACAGTTAGTTCTAAAAGAGGGACGAAAGATACCAGAGGGACAGTCAAACTCATAGATCGAAAACAAACTGACAATGCCATGGCCAAAAATAAAAAGACAAACAGACAAATAATAGTACAGATGACACAACATAGAAAACCAAAGACTAAGCAACACGAACCCCACCAAAAACTGGGGGTGATCTCAGGTGCTCCGGAGGGTAAGCAGATCCTGCTCCACATGTGGCACCTAACTTGTCAGTAATCATGTACATATCAGACACTTACCTAAGTACCGTTAGTTGGAACTTGTCAGTAATCATGTACATATCAGACACTTACCTTAGTACCGTTAGTACTAACTTGTCAGTAATCATGTACATATTAGACACTTACCTCAGTACCTTTAGTACTAACTTGTCAGTAATCTTGTACCTATTAGACACTTACCTTCGTACCGTTAGTACTAACTTGTCAGTAATCATGTACATATTAGACACTTCTTGTTAGTAAGATTTCTGGTCAACTATGACTGTTTATCTTAAATTGATTCATTGTTGTAGTAGATTTCCAATAAAGATCTTTATACACTAAGGTACAAAGTAGCAGGTAAATATAGTTTTTGACCTGTCCGTCAATCATCTTGGTTTATGGATGCGAAATTACTTCATATTTATATCAGATTTCAAACTTACTTGAATATATGTTCACATTAAGAGGAAGATTCCTTTCTATCTTTAGATCACTACACCTAAGGTTAGGGTCATAGTTGTTAAGAATAGACTGGAATTTGTGCAAAACAATTTTGCAGAATCTCTTTTTTACAGAAGACAGCCTCTAAAAAAAACTGTTTTTCTCTATTTTACTGATAAAAAGACTTTTTATTTTTGCAGTTAACTTTTACATGCAGTCTGGGATTAAATTTTTTAGACAGCAATAATTTTGTTAAACCTTCATGGAATGTTATGAAACTTGGACAGAAGCTTCTTTAAGATAAAGAAGTAGCATCTGAACAAAAGTTTGATTAAAAAAAAATCCTTAGTTTTATTAATAAATGGACTTAGCTTTGAGCATTTAACATCACACTTTTACACTTACAGCAGCAATTGCAGCCAAGAGAAATGGTTTTGCAGAACCTTTTACAAATTTTTGGGAAGACATGGACATATCTGCACATTATAGTACACATTTGTATCCCTTTCTCCTCCTTCCCCTAATCATAACTTAGTGAAACTTTCTCAGTATTTACCACCGCTTCAGTGGGCTTATGGTAGTATGCTCATCTCGGATGCGGGAGGTCCTGGGTTCAAACCCTGGCTGGGTCAAACAATAGACTTGAAAAGACTGGTCAACTCAGAGTAAAAAAAAATGTGTCCAGAGAAGGTGACATGTCTTTCTGCGGACTGTTTGTTACCTTTTGAAATAACACTTTAAAAATCAGGCTCAACGTGTGTGTTGGTCTAGTACAAAGCAGTGTTTATATTCATATCATATCATCATGTTCTCATCCTAAATATGCATTTTATTTGCCACTGGACATTAAACAGTCATCCATCCATCAGACTTTATCATATTATGCCACTAGCACCTGATATCTTGTTTTTTTGGGTTTCCCTAAACAAATCAATGACTTCTCAAGGATAAGATGTTATGATTTCGTGAGCTTTATTCGCAGTACATCAGTTATAACTAGTAAATACAATTATACTTTGAGTACTAAACTTGATTCAACTCCTGATTCAATTGAATCAATATAGACAAATCTGTCAGACTGATTGGTGAAACTGTCAGCCTTGTTGTTTGCCCCAATCACCTTAATAAGATTTCTAGTTTGTGTCTGTATTCAATTTTAAAAATTGTATATAAAGAAGCTAGAACCTTCAATTCTTTTAATCAAAAGCTCGTACTAGTGTAAAGATATTATCTATGTTTACACTGATGTTTACAACTAAATAAAAATACTGAGAACCAAAAATCTGTTTTGAAATTGTCTAAGACAATCTGGGTTGCTATTCAAAAGGACAAATATTTATGACTTTGATCATTTTATAAGGGCTGTAACAGGTTTTACTTCTGATTGATATTAGTACATAAATTTTTATGAAAATGACTTGTCATGGATCAAATTAGACACACAGTACATGTACATCTGCTTATGAATAAAATTAGGTCTGTTTGAACTAGTTTTACTTCTTGCTATGATCATCATTAATGTGCAAGTTTAAGTGATTACATATACAAAACATCAATAATAAACTTGATGCTGAAATGAATTATAATATGGTATGACATTGAATGCAATAAAGAAAACATTTCTGATCGTGGCATTAAAAGAACTCTAATAATGTTCTGCTTTTAAAAATTAAAAAAATGTCTGCATTTATTTTCTAGCTTGAATGTACACTTATACAAACTAAAGAGGTAGAACTTAAACCTGAAGACGCCCAACGTGTGTTCAATGTAGATTCATATAATAATATTGTACAGCAGGGTGAGTATAATATTTTATTGGGATGGGAATTAGACTAAACTTAACATTTTATAGTCATTTGGTAGGTCTGAGCCCGCATATATTACATTTTTCAGGGAAGACTTTCCTTAATAGGCATTTTGCAAGGAAAACTTTCCTTAATAGTCATTTTCCAGTGTATTAAAATAAGGAGATGTGTTATGATTGTCAATGAGAAACTATCATCCCGATAATTAAAGGCATAATTGTAAACAACTTCAGATCACTGTATGGATATGTATGTGGTTAATTTAAATTCAATGGTTACTTTTAGAAGGTCATTTAGTTTACCCTGGAAATTCCTGTATGTTCAAATAACAAATAGTAAAACCTGGAAATTGTATGAATTTATAAAAGGGGAGAAAAACCCAAAACAAACTCTTTCACTGATATTTTTGTAGCTACATATAGCTTTTTTTACATGGACCACATAAATTATCTCTTCAAGCCTAGATTTTTTATAAACCACAGATGAGATGTGAAATATTGGATCATATGAAAATAGCAAAGAATTAAACCCTTGCATATTTACTTTGAATTAATTTCTGTACGAATAATTTCACCATACCATTAAAAATATGTTTAATAGGACAAAAATACCAAAATTGAAAATTCCTTTCAAAATTATGTTAATCTTATTGATATGTGTGAATTAAATGTTTAAAATGATCACTTATATGAAGAATATGATCATTTTTGTCACTGTGAGTGGGACTGTGACATCATAAAATATTTTAATTTCACATTTAACAAGATGCCAATTTTGCATATAGTTTTTGGTCAAATTAAACAGGAGTATTATCCCCATCCCAAAGATATTTGAAAAAAACATCTTCTATATATACATTGTGAGGCAAAAAGTATTTTGGTTGATGCTCATTTATCAAATATTATCAGGAAAAAAATCACAAACTGAGGCAATATTAGCAGTTTTTTGTATGTGTAGAAAGGTCGAAGGCCTAAAACAAAGGTGTAAAACTAACCCCAAAAAATACATGTAGAAGAAAATTTAATCACAAGTTGACTTTTATAGTTAGGTTACTGAATATTAGAAAAAAACTCATCAAATATACCAGGCTATAATTGTGTATGCCAGATGTGTGTTTTGTCTAAATAAGACTCATCAGTGACACTCGAATCTGGGAAAACTTAAATTTATCCATCAAGGTCAAAATAATGATTTAGGAAATTAAATAGGTCTATATGAATCTCCTTTCAAATAGTTTTTGTAGTTAATTTTTTTCAAACATACAAGATTTATGTTTTTATCAGATATATTTTTTCTTCCCAAAGGTGCTGTGATTGGAATGGAGTATAATGGTGATGATTGTGTAGAGAAGTGTAAAACAGAAGCTTTAAATTTCATGAAAGGTTCTGTTGGACTGGTATTTGCTAGTCAAAGTCAATCAGAGGCAGAAAAACAAATTGAAGACTTCTACAACTTTGCAGATATGCAGATGGCTGTTTGATATATGTTATTTATTATTTATGACTTTAAGTTTTGTAGTCATTGTTATCCAGTCAATTTTCACATATCACAAATGATTTGTTGTGTCTATTTAATGGCATTATTTCCAGATTTATTTTCATATAAAATCATTCATTAGGATTAAGTACAATTTGATAAGTTTGCCATGGTAAAATTTTGAAATCTTAGAAAAAAATATGAATTATAAGGGTTATTGAAGAAGTGACCACATGGGCAAGGTTAGACCTACTCATTTTCCAACCCCAATCATCCACAGAGTTTTCAATGATTTTTGTCCAGAAATTTCAGTTTGAAAATACCCTAATTATTTTTTTAAAACATCTCTCAATCCCTTTATTTGTTGATTTCTCTCTCTAAACATATTTCAGAAAATTACACTTAACATTTTAATCTCAAGTTAGATGAAGATGTTTAATGATCAAAGTTTCTTGTACTGATATTGCAGAAAATATAGCTCAAACATTCAAATGGTAAAATGGAAAATTGAAATAATTTTGGAAATTGCCAGATTCAGAAAAAGTTCACTTACAAATTTTAAAGTCATTTGATTTTAATGTAACACAGGAAATCTAAAAGTTCAAAATATGTGATTTTACCCTAAATTATGTTTATATTCCGGATATGAATAATTTATGTAATTGAAGTATTTGATAGACAAATAAGATTGAGATAAAAAACAGCCGAACTGTTTTAGCTGTTAATATTAGTTATTTCCTTTTCTCACCAAAACAATCGGTTCTGTTGAATCACATCAAAATCAAATCAGTTAAAAGTATATTTTCCTCATCTGTTGAAAAGTATTTTCTATAATATACAATACATTTGCATATGATTGATTTGTTTTTTTCACATAGAAGTTGTCAATGACATTCATCATTGTTTAGTTTTGTAAGATTTAGTTATACTTTTATTTATGCATATTTTTTGTTAAATTCCATTTTCTTTCAGTATAAAAATTAGTAAAATTATATTTTTGATAGAAAAATGAAAAGATAGGATTTTTTTTCACTTTTTGTTTTTTCTTCAAGTCTGTCATTAGACTCTTTGAACACAGAACAACTGATCATTAATACCATAAAAACATACATTCTGTATTAAAATTAACTTTTGAACATTCCACACACTAAAATATGACCTATTACCCTGTTAATATTAAAGATGTTAATTTTCAATTGATGTATTTGTTATTTGGAAAATTATGTCGGATAGGTTTGGCAAAAACGAGAACTTGTATTTTACATTTTGGTAGCATTATTTGTATGCAGCATTTAAAGAAATCCCATTTTTATGCCCCTGCCGTAGCGGAGGGGGCATTAAGTTTTACCCTTGTCTGTCTGTCTGTACGTACATCCGTACATTCCGAATTTGGTTTCCTTTCTCTTACTTGAGTTTGCCTCAACCAAATGTTATGAAAGTTATACACAATGCTTATTACCACAAAACACAGATCAGGTTTGTATTTTGGTGGCGTCACTTTAACCGTTCTAGAGTTATGTCCCTTTATAAATGGAAAAAAATGCAAAATTTTTAGTTTCCGTTCTCTAACTTAAGTTGCCTCAACCAAATGTTATGAAACTTATACACAATGCTTTTTACCACAAAATACAGATCAAGTTGAATTTTGGTAGCGTCACTTTAATCATTATCGAGTTATGCCTTTCCGTTCTGTAACTTAAGTTTGTAACTTAAGTTTGCCCCAACCAAACATTATGAAACCTATACACAATACTTATTACCTTAAAACTCAGATCAAGTACAAATTTGGGTAGGGTCACTTTTATCGTTCTTGAGTTATGTCCCTTTATAATGTTGTATGCAAGCGGGGGGCATCATCTGTGTCCATGGGGACACATTCTTCATATATTGTTTTTTGAAACAACCTCAATATTGAATGCAGGGAATTTAAAAATAAAAAAGTACATGTCTTCATATACCACATGAAAAGATTATTTTACATATTTATGCATGCTCAAAGACTGTATTTTTTTCAAAAAAGTGAATAATTTCATATGTTTATTGTTTAATTAAAAAATACATTTATCATAAATCTTTTAAAGAAGTGCAATTTTCATTTGTAATTATTGAAGGACATTTTACTGTTGAAGTGGTATATTGTTTTTGTAATGTTTGAAGGTGTTTAGCAATATTTCATCTATAAATGTTCTAATTACTGAATTAATGTTCCATCCTATTTTAAAGGCAAAAAATTATTGCCATTATAGTTGGATTGGTATCGAACTTGACTTAGATGCTAATAATGTAAATTCACTAATATTTGTGATGTTTTTGTTATTACTAAAATAACAATGGGATAGGTTTCTCAAAAATAAAAAATAATTATAAAAATTATAAATTTTGACAGCATTATTTATTTGGCATAACCTAAAGAATTTATCTCACATCTTTGTCCCTTGTTTAACATTCACAATGATAAATGCACACACAAATTTCTGATTTTGCATTAACCACTTTTAAAGAGTTGCATATTTTTTTTAATTCAATTAGAAAGTTTTTGCAAGAGCTTTATTGTTTGTTCCATACATCCATTCATGGGATGCCCAAATTATCAACTTTTGTAAATGTAATAGATATACATTTATAGCATATGTGACTTCAATATCTCATAATATGGATGATTTTTGTCAAGCCTGCGACTTTTGTCGCAGAAAGCTCGACATAGGGATAGTGATCCAGCGGCGGCGGCGTTAGCTAACTTCTTAAAAGCTTTATATTTTAGAAGGTGGAAGACCTGGATGCTTCATACTTTGTATATGGATGCCTCATGTTACGAAGTTTCCGTCAGTCACATGTCCAATGTCCTTGACCTCATTTTCATGGTTCAGTGACTACTTGAAAAAAAAGTTAATATTTTTTGTAATTTTAAATTCTCTCTTATTATAAGTAATAGGATAACTATATTTGGTATGTGCGTACCTTGCAAGGTCCTCATGCCTGTCAGACAGTTTTCACTTGTCCTCGACCTCATTTCACGGATCAGTGAACAAGGTTAAGTTTTGGTGGTCAAGTCCATATCTCAGATACTATAAGCAATAGGTCTAGTATATTCTATGTATGGAAGGACTGTAAGGTGTACATGTCCAACTGGCAGGTGTCATCTGACCTTGACCTCATTTTCACAATTCATTGGTCAATGTTTAGTTTTCTTGGTTAAGTCTGTTTCTTAGAAACTATAAGCAATAGGTCAACTATATTTAGTGTATTGAATGATTGTAAGGTGTACATTTATTTCTCGTTTGGTTTATATGACCTTGACTTCATTTTCTTGGATCATGTTAAGTTTATGTAATAGTTGTAGTAAAGCTTTCATTTAGGACTATCAACATAATATCAATGGTTAGTAAAGAAGGCGAGACATTTCAGTGTGTGCACTCTTGTTGGAAATTTAATGAACTTTTCCTTTTTGTTGCTTGTGTTAATTCCAATATTATGACACATATATTTAAAAACATAGATAGTCACTTTTATTTGTGAAAAGTTTTTTTTGCAAGAAATTATCACTGAAAGGTACTCAAAATTGAATTTATTTTAAAAATGTGTTGATAATCGAGAAATTTTGTAATGTTGGACAATTTAACAATATGAAAAGTTACATGTACATGCATTAATATTTAGATTATATTTGATTCCAGCAACTTTTTTTCTGAAATTTACAAGGGGAATCAAAGTATTGTCATCAATTTTGTACTGACATTGTGGTTCAAATGACTGAAAGTATGATAATGATTTGCATTAAAGCTGTTACATTCCTTTAATTATTAGACACAGAAGGAGGGGTTCTTAGATGTTAGTTTATAAATATTATGACAAAGTTATCTGAGTTAATTAGTTTCTTCTTGATAGTGTTTATAGATATAGAAATTTAGCATTAAGTTAGATATAATGGGGCTTTAATATTTTCAGCACAACCTTTACAGAAATTTAGTGTGAAGTTAGTTATAATGGGGCTTCAATATTTCAGCACAAGCTTCTTTACACTGTATTAATTCACAAATAGTTATCATTAATTTACTTATGCCAAAACACATGATAAAATGTCAGAACATTTCTACTTATTGCTATTGTTTTATTTTAATATACTTTTTTTAGGGGTTGGGGAATGGGTGTATTTTTTCTCTATCAAGATTTGTGTAATGGATTTCAAATGTTTAACTAGAAATGTATAATTATCATGAAAAGGGAAGATGCATTGTCAGCTGTTGCTGCTTAATAATACCCCCTCTATAAGTGCACGCCGATGAGCTATGGATGTAATAAAGCATCACAGCGTACAGAATGTTCACATGAAGCTTGATATTAAGTTTCAGGTAGGTCTGTTTTGTAGTTCTGCGAAAAATGCAACTTAAATATCATAGGACTGGAGGACAGAGGTTAACTAGTATACCCATCCTTTGGTAAAATCATATTTTGTTATTGTGCTGTTATTTTTTTATTTAGCCAAACTGGCACTTACTTTTTGCCCTTTTCATTGATAAGATCAAGAGAATCTCCCTAATAACATTTATTTTATTACATTACAAAGAATGTCACCAAGCCACAAATCTGATTTGTACATCTGATTAATTTATCATATGTTTTGTTTTTCATTTCAATGAGTTTATTGGGCCAAAAAAAACTTAAAAATAAGAGTACATTCCTTTTTGAGAAGTAAATATTATAGTTTAATTGTTTTTGTTTATTTTTGATTTTATTCAGTGTTGATTTGTATTGCTTACATCTTCAGTGTTTGATATGTATTCCAGTCGCTGTGAAATCTTATTGTCATGATATGGAAGAAAAAAATTCATGAATATTCATCTGTCACGTGTATAATTGAACATGTTCCGTCCACCTTTCGGCTCATAGATCTGAAATTTTGTAATGCATTTTATTTTATATTTATTTGTTGTGATAATTTTGTTTTAATTTTAAATGTCAAGTTAGAACTATAATGAAATACAGTTGAAAATCTTCATCAGTTATTATTTATCTTACCCCCTGTGGATTGGATATACATTTCTTTTTGTAATATATGGGGTACAAACTTTCATGGATTTTGTGGATATATGACCACAAATTTCCGTTTTTCAACAAAATACAAATTTTCTATTGTCTTGTTTGCTGAATGTGTCACAAGCACAGAATCATGCATCCAATAAAGTAGAATTTTCTACCAATCCATGAAAATTGGTACCCACAAAAAGGAATCCACATTAATTTCATAACTTTTTACCATAAACATGTATATGCAGTTGATTTCCATCAGAAAATAAGGCAAATTATTGTCATGTGAGATTAAGTAAAGATATAGGGTGAATTTCATCCATACTTCAAAAGGCAAGGTAACCAGTAAAAACATAGTAAGGTCTCTGTATAGATATAACAATGAGCAGACACCAAAACTGTCACAATACCAGCTACCCATAAACAATATCTTTCAGTCTCATTGTATAATTAGCAATGAGCCAGAAAAAAAACTTACAGACCCTTAAGCACAAGGAATAGTTAATAGACAAGGTCACAAATTTTTGTAAAATTTTGCGTACAACTTTTGACATGTTGACCATTAACTGACAATCGAAAATGAAAATAATTGTAACTTATTTCCTTTTTTGAACTATGACTAAATGAAATTTCTTTCTTGAAATAGTTCCACATTTGTATAGAACTGTACAAAATGGATAAAAAAACATCCAGCTACAACTACTGACGTTGTTATTATGCCATATGTAATTGCAACTAAGTATGTGATAGTGATACTTTATCATTTTATTAGCTTGATTAGTTATTCATTGGTAGAACCAACAAACAAATTGCAGTTACAATTCAGTTTGAACTTTTTAGAAAATTAGGCTTCCATATTTAACAGCTACATAAAAATAATTGAAATAATACAAATGCAATGTTTTATGCATTAAATATATGAAAGCAAGGTCAAGGTACCTAATTTGAATAAAAGATGAAGGGTTAATTTCGATGAGACAATAAATCAACTACATAAGTTCACCAACAAAAGAATCTTATAGGTCTAGAATGTATAATCTCAATCACATTAAGTCTTTAAAAGTTGTGAATGAATTAAACAGATGCAATCCATAATCTAACACCCACACAAAAAAACACACATGAAAATATTTACTTTTATCACTAAAATATCCACCCATCACTAAATTTAATTAGGAACATTTAGATTGATGTAATTCAGTTTGCTGTCCATTATTTATTGTAATTGTCTACCTTTCAATTTTGTTACTTTATTGATGACTTTTTGGAAGCATGCTTGCCTTGAATGTTTTAGGTCATTTGCTCAATCCAACAACACAAGCACAAACAAAACAATGATAAACAATATTGTATAAAAAAAACTGTAGTTAAACAGTGTTTTCCCTACAAATTTCATATAGGAAACTGGTAAGTGGAGTTTTTCAAATACTAATAAAGCAGTAAAGCATCACATCACCTTGATGCTTTAATGCCATTGGGAGAACACAGAGTTAAAGCAAGCTCAAAGTCCTTTACCTTCTGATGTGTAATCATTCTGTTCTATATTCTAATATGGTGGCTGAACTTTACAATAGATTTCATACAACGATGGTATACTATATCACGAAGACAAGTCCTTGTGCAAAAGATCAGAACACACCTGTTCAGAATTTAGATGCATTCAAAACAAACAAGTTATTAAGTCTTGCTTCAAACTATGATTAAGAAAATTAATGTTCATCCCAAAAATACAAGACATAATAATTGATTTACAACAGTATAATTTAACAACAAATCTATTAAGCCAAAAAGATAAATTGAAAGGACAATTCCGAAACTTAGTGAATAACATTTTCAGTAAATTCTATTTGTGATTTTATAGCTATTTTCGGTTTTAGTATGGTGAAGAGCTGGTGTTTGGATTGAAAAATGAAAGGCTATTTTGTGTAATCAATTCTTCCTGCAATTTTGGACCCTTTATTCATGAAACTTTACAATCAGATTGCACACATATCAAAGTTTTGCACCTGCTATTATGGAATTGTTTGATTAATTTTTTCTCATTTTTCCAGTCTTGGGATTTTCAACCAAGACCACTGAAACTTAAAATGAAGATTACACACTTATTTAGGTTTTGCACCTGCTATTGTGGAATTGTTTGAGGAATTCATTTTCCTGACCTTTGAAGTTACTTTTTCAACAAAATTTTCAAAATATGGTACACAAATGTACCTATTTTGTGTAATAAATTTTAACTTTTTAAGAAATGTTCAACCTTGATCCATGAAACTTCACAGAAAGATTGCACACATAGTAAAGTTGTGCGCCTGGTATTATGGAATGGTTTTAGGAATTTATCCCTTATTTTTCCAGACTTGGGGAACATGAACATTTCTCAGCAAAACTTTCATGATGGGACTTATTTTGTATAAATAAACTCCTCAAACAGTTCTCAACACAAATCCCAGAAACCTCGTAGAAAAATTGAACAGATACTCAGAAGGTGGACGGATACTATGATGGAATATTGTTTAGGCATTTTTTTTCAGATATGAGAACTTAGTCATTTTTAGCTCTCAGACACCTGGCTAAAAAGGTAAAGTGAGATTTAGCCATCACTCGGTGTCCATTGTCAGTTCATCGTCATAAACTTTTAAGAAAATTCTACTGGATCAATGTTACCAAACTTTACCTGAATGTTCCTTAAGGAATCTAGTTAAAAAGGTGATCATCAAACACTGACCGATGTTGCTAAAATAGACCATAGGGGGTAGAGAGAAATTTTAAACAGTAAAAATTAACAGAACAATAAGATCCTCAAATAGGTAAGTAAAGCAGAAATCGTCAATAGAATGTGAACGATGATTGTTACAAACATTTTGTTTTTGCATTTTGTGTGGTAACTTTAGTAGATAAAAAAAATCGTTTGATGTCAGAAAAGATCAGCAAAAATAAGATCAACAAACAAGCAACATGGCCGAGTTGTCAGACTTATAGATACGTATGAACTGGTGCTGTAAACAGTTACACTGATCATCAATACAAGATCTACAAAAATGCCACTAAATAAGATTTACAAATAAGTAAACATAACTGATTGCAATAAACGAGAACAAGATATCAAAATAACATATTTTTTATCAGTTGAGTGATTCAGGCTCTTGGGAGCCTCTTGTTCACTTATGTTTTATTTTTCCATATATTTGAATGTTCATTATTGACCATTCTCCAATCCATTGTATCAGAAACATTCTGTGCATTCTGGAAATTTGATCCTTTTTTTTTTTTATTAAATTCCTGCATGCATATGGAATCGCTTCTATAAAACATGATAAGAAGATGTGGTTGCAAATAAGACAACGTTCCACTAGTAACCAAATGACGTAGAACTAGCAGACTATATGTCACGGTATGGCTTTCAAGAATGAGCAAACCCCATACCGTTAAAGGCCCCGACATGACCATTTCAAACATGTTGCCTTATTTGTAGGTCTTATCTTGCTGAACATTTTTTCTATTTAAATATATTTGCTCTTTATCTATTAATAGTCTAAGAGTTTATACAAAAAGTAATAAAATAGATAAAAAGGGTTATTAAGGAACACTCTCCTACAAGGAGTCAGTTGATAATTTCAATCATGTTAACTTATTTGTAGATCTTATTGTGCCTAACGTCTTTGATATCTACCTACAATTTCTCTCTTTCTGTAATGGTTTCTGCAAAAATACACAAAATTGGTAAAATTAACATCTTTAAGGGGCAACAACTCCCAAAAGGAGACTGTTGACGATTTCGGCAATGTTGACAATGGTTGACTTATTATAACATTAACCAATTCTTTATTGCACTATCTAGTTGTTACATGTAATAACTGCCCTGTATAGTACAACTATCTTATATCGTATTGTGCTGAACAGAAAGTTATTTACAGTTTCTATCTATTATGGTTTCATAAAAAATGGGCAACAATCATATTTCAAGGGCAATAACTTCTTTAAGAGGACAATTATCCATTTTGAACATGTTGACTTATAATTTGCTATCCTTAGGAAAAATCAGGTAACTTTGGTAACATTTGTTCCAGTAGATTCAGAGGAGAAGACTTTTAAAAAAGTTTACGACGGCGAACGGGCGTACGGACGACGACGGCGGACGCCAACCCCGATGTCAAAAGCTCGAATGGCCTTTTAGTCCAGGTGTGCTAAAACGAAGGACGACGAAAAGACAAATTAGTCCCCAAAAACATTATGCATAGAACATATAGAAAACAAAAGACTGAGCAACACGAACCCCGCCAAAAACTGGTAAGCAGATCCTCCTCTACGAGTGGCACCAGTCATGTTGCTCATGGTTACCACAATTGGAACAAATCCGTGGTCATCTGTGGTACAGATATTCTATGTCAGTCTACTAACTCGTGATGGCGTCCGTAAAAACTTTCCATGAATCACTTCAACTTTACCATCCGAAACCCTTGGTATCTTAGCTTACTTATAAGCAGCAATAGTCATGATAAGAAACGCAATATATTATCACTTAAAACTCTTGGTTTGATAGCTTTCGTGGTTTGATAGCTTTCTTATTTTGATAGCTTCTTTGTAAGCAGCAACACTCTATCAAGGAAATCGTGATAGGAAATGCAAGCTCTGAAATATCGTTTTAACTGGGAAATATATACTCCATGTGTAGGCGGAGAATGGAATGTTGTTACATAGAAATAAAAAAATCTCAATTGGAAAGCTGATATCATCTCTTTTGTCGTAAAGTTTTGTTCTCATCTGATCTTCATTGTCAATTTCTATTCGATTTTGTGTTATTAAAATTTGCTGTTACAAAATTTTGGAAATTATTTTAAATTAAGGAATATATATCTCCCTCATGCAAAGCTCGGATTCCTTGCCCGGCTTTGGCTATACTTTTTGTCCTTTTTGGTTTATCATGAGCTCATCTTTTTTTATAAACTTTGGATTTTCAAATATGTTGGCCTCG